AATACAATTGTATATTCACCTGACTCAAATCACTCATGTAAGTAACCACTACTGGTTAAATTTCCATTACAGACAAACAAAACTCTCACACTTTAGGCATTTCGAATCATCTTCAAATAAATTATAATATGATTTATAATAAAAAATCAAATTAATCCAAAGAAAAATATTTTAATATTAATTGTTCACAGATCTTCAAAAACATAGTAGATCAGTGTTTTTTTTATAAATAAATGCAGTAAATATATACAAATCGAACACCACCAATTCCAGATCTGAATTTAGATCTGACTACACATCGTCGGATCACAATTTAAAATTTTTGAATTTAGTTGATTTTCATAAAAAAAAAAACAATAAAATAAGGTGAAATAGTTAAGAAAATTCAGATCTTAAAAAATAAATTAAAAATAGATGGACATTCACAAATAAAAAAAAAACTTAAAAAAGTGACGTGAATGGTTTAGTACCGAGTTCAAGGCGGTGGGAGGAGCAACGACGGCCGGCACAGGCCGTGGCGGAGCAGCGACAGCGGCAGCGCAAGGAGGTGAGGGGAGCGACGGCGACGCAAGGAGGTGGGGAGCAGCGGCGACGACGCAAGGATGTGAGGGGAGCAACGGCGATAGAGAGTTGTGGGTAGAGAGAGAGTTAGAGAGAAAGAGATGAAGAGAGAGAAAGAAAGAAAGAGAAGAGAGAGAGAAAACAATTCATCAAGTACTTCATTTTATTACACGGAAAAAATACCTAAACAATTGCGTAAATTATCAATTCTAATTTTTTCACATAGTTCGAACTTATTACAAGTGCCCAACATCAATCCATGAAACAATAAAAAAATACAACAAATTACCTCATACAGATTAGAGACTCGTGCGGCGGAATACATCGAAATATTGATTATGTTCATCGATTGCGGCCGGAATACAGATCCTATTCATCGGCAATACAAATCGTCGTCGAAATATGGATCCCGTACAACAACAACAAATTTGTATATATTTACTTTTTAAAAATCAAGTTCAATTAAATATTTACATTATAAATTAACTCATAACCAACAAATACAGAGAAAATACACAATTACGTGCATATGTTACTACATGTCCCTACATGTGACTATATATGACTATAGTTAAATCTTCATATATATTCAAAATATACAGAACCATACACGAGACACCTCTACCATTAGGTATGATATGGTATCATTTATACCACCCAAATCTCGAAAAAGAGCAGCAGCTGGATTGTTGTAAGCCATACAGGTTTTCAAAAAAACAAATAGTAAACCAGTAGATAAATGAAATTAAAAAAATCAATTTCCACAATGTTTAAAATGTCACATTATAATAACAAAAATAAAGCATATATATATATATATAAAGTATGTATAAATTAGAAAAAAATTGGTAAAAACACAAATCTGATTGAAAAATCATGTGAAGATCTTCGATCTGTTGAAGAACAAAAAATAAAAATAAAAAAATAAAAAAGTAAAACGTTCTGTGGTCTTCAAAATTAGACAAGAACACCCCCGATCTTGGCCGATCTATCGTCTTCCCATCCTTGACTGGACTCAAAATCTCGCGGCGGCGACGACGCTTCCCCTTCTCTGGCTTGGGCTTAACATCTCTCGGCGGCGGCGGCGGTGGCTTAACATCTCTCGGCAGCGGCAGCGGCGGCCTCCTGGTTCGAAGCGGATCAATCGAAAAAATATGGTGGACGGTTGTGGTGTGGATGGAAGAGAGAGAACTAGGGTTTGGATGTACAACGAGAAAAGAAAGAAAGGAGAGAACGGCATATGGAGAGTGAGACAAGAAACGACGTGGCTTTACCTTATTTCACAAAAACTGCTAATTAAGGGTAAAAAAAGTCACATCACTATGCCTTATGGGGGGTCTCACAAATTAAGATCAAAATTTGGGTTTTTGACTAGGATAGAAAAATTCATTGGACCTCCCCATATATATTTTCAAAACTAGGGGGTTATCACTCATTTACCCAAATATATATTATAGTGGAGGTAATAGAGAACTTTAATTTTATTACCGAATTTGCAAAAAATTACCCTTTTGGTGGTAACCAAATAGGCCTAAAAGTATCACTATCACCTGCAATCATTGAATATTTCAGTTGTCAAATGTGAATATTTTTAGTTTTTAACCGCAAGTTGTATTTAATAAACATTACTTTGTAGACTACTCCCCCGTCTCATATTATATGCCGTTTTGGGTGGTTTCGCACATATTAAGAAAATTAATAAATATCAAAACATTATACCAAAAATAATATAGTAAATACTAAAGGGCTAAATACACTTTGCACCTTTGAAGTATAGCTCATGTAACACTTACCCCCTTAAAGTATCATTTGTAACACTTACCCCCTCAACATCAATTATTTTATATTTTAAAAAGTAAAAAAAATAATAAACATAACAATCTAATAATTAACGTTTCATAGAAAATTGAAAAGTAACTAAAATTAATTATTGAAAAAAAAAATTAATATATATTGGGTAATAATGAATTAAAATATATTTAAAAAAATTAATAAACTAAAATAAATTCAAATACTTAAGATTTCTATTAGTTATGTATTGATTTCTTAAAATTTATCGATAGAGTATTTTTGATTAATTGGTCCAACAACAATAAGATGTTATTTATTGAAAAAATATCGAACGCAAGATAATATTTTTAAATTTTAAAATATTGTATTTTTCAACAGATATTTTTAGTTGTATAATATAATTATTCTTTTTAGTTATTCCTTTCAATAAAATAATTTTTTTAAGGTATGAAAATTTAAAATACAAATTAAATGGTGCTTGATGGGGTAAGTGTTACAAATGATACTTTAAGGGGATAAATGTTACGGATGGTATACTTTAGGGGTGCAAATTGTATCTAACCCAATACTAAAATATCCTTGTCATTAATTATTTTTTTAATTAACTAATTAAGAGTGATAAGGGGCAAAATTGGTAAAAATGCAATTAATGCTTCGTTGGAACTCTAAAATGATAAATAATTTGGGACAAAAAAAAAGACAAATAGTATGGGACAAGGTGTACCAATTATTCAGAAAGTTCGCCCTTCAGAATCCACGGCCGTACAAAAATCTAACACTTTCACGAGATTTATGTGTTTGATGTTGCTAAATGCTTCACATTCCCCTACGTATATTTTGGAGAAAACTTTGTTTTCTTGATTTCTTGAGTACTTTCACCGCAATTGTATTTCCATCTTCGGAAAGAACACCTTTGTATACCGAAGAAAAATTTGCCCGTACCTACCGAATTATCCCAGGAAAATCCATTCGTTGCCTTTTCTAATTCTTTGTAGGAAAATTTCGAATTTCAATCTTCTGATGAAGTGAAAGTTACCGAACTTTCCTCCTCGATCTTTTCAGCATACACGCAATAGAAACATATAAAATCGCAAGAAAACCCAAAACTCCAGTAACTGCTCCAATCACAACTCTCAGATAATAATCAGACTTATCTTTTCCCAAAGAATCACTTGCAAGTTGCAAACATCACACACGGGTAGTGCAAGTTCAATGCTACCCCCACACAGTTCAGTGTTTCCATCTTGTGAAAAGCCGCTTCTGTTAGCAAGTATTCCGTATTTCGGAACTTCGCCTTTGAAGTGGTCGAACGAAAGATTCAAGTACCGAGGAAAAACAAAATCCTGCAAAAACTTTGGTACACTTCCGGTGAAATTATTTTCGGGCATATCAATATCTTGAATGCCTTTTAAAGAACTGAAACTCAAAGGAATCAAGCCACTCAATAAATTATGCTGCACATATATTTGCTCCATGCTCAAACAACGGCCTAGGTTTCCCGGAATTCCACCCGACACCTCATTATCGGACAAATCAAATTCTTTGAGGTTTAAAAAATTGCCAACTTCCATCAGTAAAGTTCCGCTCAAAAAATTACGAGCAAGATTAAAAGACACGGTTAATGATGAAAGAGTGAAAATTTCTGCAGGCATGAAACCACTAAGATTATTACCAAACAGATTCAGTAGCTGAAGTTGCCGACACTATACGGAATTACACTTACCAATTTGTTTGCATCCAAACGGAGCTCAAACAATTGAGTTAAGTTCCCATAACTGAGCGGAATTGGACTATTAATTTCCGATCATATATAGTCGTCTGAGATTGAAAAGTTTACCTATTTCATGTAAACCGGACCGTCAAATTTGTTCCACCTGACATTTAAAGTATTCATATTAACGAGGTTTGTTATGTTTTGGAAGGTATACCAGCAGATAATTTGTTGTCTCCAAGAAGTAAGCTATTCATATTATCGGCAAATTAGCTATTCTCAGTGACAATAAACCAGAAAACCGGCTACTATCTATGCCCAACATCTGAAATTTGCTGCAATTTCTTAACGAGTTAATGAAATCCAATTCATCGGGCGCTCCTCTACCAAGAATATTACGACCCACATTTAGTCTTGGCAGATTTAAAATCCTACTGAAATCATTAGGCACTGTACCTGAAAATCGATTATCGGGTGGATCAATTATTTGAAGGGAAGAGATATTCGATAGTGAAGGTGGAATCGCCCCCGAAAACCCGTTAACTCCAACGAGAAACGGCTTCAAATTCGGAACATTAATTCATCGGAAAACTCCCCACTAAATTACTAGACCGCCACCGCAAAACAGAAATTCTCAATAGGTTGAAAACCGAAGAATGAATTTCAGTGGAGAGATTATTGCTTCCAAATTGCAAGAACTGTAAATTCGCAAGACGGCTGATTTCATATGGAAGAATTCCTCCGAGGGAATTGAAAGCTATAGAATCGAAGATATGTTGTGGGGGGGGGGGGGGGTGCGTTAGCTGGTTTTTCGAACTGATTTTAATCGAGTTCAAACAAGTTCAATCCAATCTTCAAATCCTTCAATACAAATGAAGTCTTGGAATTCTTTTAACCAAAACCATACAAAGAAGGCTCGAGTATAATTAGGCCATACTCTTAAAATCCTGCATTTTATTTCAGTCACCGGCATTGATTGGAACCTCGAAAAAAGGTAATATATAAAATACAGAAATTGAATTAATTAAAAATTTGGAAAATTCAAACGGAACTAATATACTTCAAAATATGCAACAATTACTGATTGAAACTCACAAGTAGAGATTACATATTGAAACCTTTCCATTCTCAATTCGAAAAGGATTCGTCAATCTCAATTTTGACCACCGACCCGTCGTCGTACTTATCCTTTCGCGGTGGAAGTGGCGGCGCCGGAACCCTCGGCGGTCCTCTCCCCTTGTTCTTGTCCTTCGGCCTCGCCTGCACCACCATATCCACACAATTAAACAAAATAAATACAAATGAAAATTATAGAGAAATCAAAAATTAGAATCAGAAGAAAAATTAGAATATCCCCCACATTGCCGAAGGAGTGATTGAAACGTTTTCCTTTAGCAGTTTTCTTATCTCCTCTGCCGCAGTGAACTGAAAAAGAGATAACAAAGCCGAATCAGAAATGTTAGAACACACAGAAAAGCGCGTGGGAATGTGTGTGAAGAGGTTTACTTACTGAAGGGGAGAGCAGGAGCGGAGAGGGAGGTGGAGAGTGAAGAGGCGGAAGCCGAGCACAACGACGGCGCGTGGGTGAGGGATTGAGATTTGGAGAAGGAAAGAGAAGGGGAAAGAGCGAAGGAGTGGGCAGCCATGGGAGCTCCAAGCAAGAGAGAGGCCATTGAAATTGAGATTGAGCAATGAAATGAAACTTGTGGCCGCTGGAAATGGATTTTGTTCTGGATAATATGTTATTGTGGGACTTGAACGACACCGTATTGAACGAAGATGTATTATTATTCTTTTTTTTTTTTTAATAAATTACAAACAAGCCCCTCTAATTTGTGTGCAAAATTATAAATATCTCCCTAACGTATATATCCGATCCACCTTAACATAATCTTTAGAATTTCTAAAAATATTCGTTCGTGACTTCAACCAATTAGGGATGATAATGTGCAATTCATGTTCTCGTCCCACTATAGATTTCTCCATCTCCATTCTTGTTAAAATCCCCGAATTTTATGAATTCGATCCGCCATGTAAATCCTTTTTTTTTTTTTTTTTTTTTTTTTTTTTTCTTTCTTTCAATATATTGGCAAGTCAACTTAGACTTTAAATTAAAACTTAAAGACTTATTTCTTAAAATAAATAAACAAAGTGCAAATTTGACTTCAAATCTCATACAAAATTCCATAAATAAAAAATATGAATTTTTAACATAATAATCAGTCAATATATATATAAATAATATATGCGAGGCGGATACGGGGCGGGTACATGCAAATCCGTCCCCATCTCCCATACCCAGTTAAATTTTTTTGTCAATTCCCATTCCCACCCCATATATTTTCGGAACAATTATTGCCCGAGAATTTCGAGTAGGGGCAGGGCGTGGATCTATGGGGGCGAGACAAATTGCCATCACTACAACCAATGATGTCACTCCTATCCATGTGATACATAAATTCTTTATGTGATGGATTATAGAGCCCCTAGCCTTAATGAGAAAATTAGCAGGACCCCCCTCATTTGGGAAACTAGCAATGGGGGAGAAAACATAGCTAGAGAGGCGGAAGCAATAGCTTCTAGGAGATCGATCTTTGAAGGACCAGATGGAAATGGCCTTTTTCATTTTATCTTTTTATTCTTGGAATTTGACTTGACTTGCTGGGTACCTTCTTCGATCAGACTTCTGTACCGGTCTCTGAGAATAGCACCGGAGGTTTAAAAACTATCTGACTAATAAGAAGAAAGGGGCTAGCCAAAATCTTAACAAGTTGCTGGCTTTTCATCGGCCGTTGTGCGCTTCGCTTTTTCAACAGGCTTCTTCAAATATCCCATACATTCAAAAAAGTAGGGGCTAATACTAGCTAGTTAGTCCCGAAGTCAGAGTCTGAGTCAGCCTTGGAACTGAGCCAAGTCAACCGACGCCAAGGATTACTTCACGAGAGGGAGAAGCGTCTTCTCAACAACTATGAAATTCCTATTCAGCTTCAGGTGTGGGCTTGCCCACTAATAATTCCAAAGTCCAACAAGCTATAACGACGGTTTCAACAGCATCTCAAGGCGGGGGTAGGATTCGAAGGGATAACCCCCTCTTTTTTTTCTTTAGTGATAACCCCTTTGCCTTTGTTGTAGCTATTCTCACATATTTAAATTGCCTAATATATCCTTCCAAATCTCTAACTCAATTATTCTTTTATCTCTCCCTCTTTCTCCCGTCTTCTCTTTTCTTCCCTCTCTTCTCACTCAAATCTCTAGTTTCTTATCTCTCAATATGTATATGAAGAACCACCGTCACCGTCATCGGCATCACTATCAGAACAACGGCGCCAGAACATCTGACGGATCTGAAAGCGTCGGCGGACGAGGCGATTGTAGAAGGCTGCACCGATTGAGGTGGACCGTGGCGAGACGGACAAAGTGAAGCATTTCGCAGAGACATCTTTCTAGATCTTTGTGGGGTTTGGCGGTGGCGTTGGATACTTTTGGATGAGGTGGTGCTGGTGGTGACATTGATGGCGGTGCAGGTGTGGCCGAGCAATGTTAACAAGGGCGGTGGCGGAGTAAATGGTGGCAGATCTAGGGTTTTTGGCTAGATTGGGTTGATGACATAGCGGGCAGAGGTGGGGATGGTGATGGTATGGTGTGGCGAAGTGTGATGACGATAGGGAGCATATCTAAGATTTTTTGGGTAGATTAAGTAAAGACGGCGCGGGCGGAGGAAGTTCGCGGATGTTGGATCCATAATCAACTACGTTTTAGTTGTCGATTAAGGTTAATCGACTATGTTTCAGTAGTCGATTAAGGTTAATCGACTACGTTTCAGTAGTCAATTAAGGTTAATCGACTACGTTTTCTAATTCATTTTTTGGATTTTTATTTATTAATTCCTTATTTTGTCACATATCATTGGACTTGGGGGCAAATCAATGGTGTGTTTTAGTCAAGGTTGTAAAAAGCATCAATCATGTCGGAGGCGGTCAGGGATCGACTCACGATTAATTGGTGCGGCGGTGATTAATCGGTGATAAATCGGAAATAAATCGATTTTTAAAATTTAATATAATGTATTTATAGATATTATTTATAAATACTCAAAACATATATAAAAAGATATTTAAACATAGTTATATCTCCATCATGTATATATCTTAATAAAATAATAAAAGTTTAATAATAATAAGATCATAATACATAAATATCCTTATAAAATATAAATAAAAAAGCATTTTTTTTGAATTTACATTTATTCTTGAACATTCCTAACATACATCATTAGTTCTTTAACAATAACAGTTAACATAAACAAAATAAAACATAAGCTCATATTTTGTTAAAATCCCAACTTTTATTTTGAATTATTAAAAAAAAAAGAAAAAAAAAATCAATTTTTGACAGATTTTTGGCCGATTTTTGCCACCGAAGTTTGACCCGCCATAAAGGTTTGACCGCCTTGGATCGTCTCAAACCACCTCACAGGCAAAAAACCGATTTTTCAAACCTTTACACTAAGACCGATTAATCGGCCGCCTCAGCCGATTTTTAGAATACTGGTTTTAGTTATGCCATTGTCAATCCATCATTCGTTTTGTATACAATCAAATTTTTGTATATTTTTTGTTTTGTAAATGATTTTTTTTAGTTGTTTCCTTTTTTTTTTTTTTTTTTTTTATTTTTGCGGATTCTTTTGGTTTGAATCGTGTTGGATTTCATTGACGGCATTACGATTGTTTTTATTATTTTTAGTATCCAATTTCGTTATTCAACAATGAGTTTAGTAGTCAGTTCATTAATCGATTATGCTTTAGAGTTTAGTAGTCGATTAATATACCTAGAAAAAAACGAAAGAAAAACAATTAAAGAAAAGTTTAAAAAATTTAAAAAATAAACAATAAACAATAAAAAACGAAAATTAATTTTTAAACTAAAAAATTATCCAATGTAATGAATGCTTCCGTGTCCAATAAGATGAGGCATCTCTCATTCTCTTGTAAATATTTGCCTATAAATAGGCCGCTAATGAATGATTGAAATTGTACGGTTCGGTATATGAAAGTCCCCACTACTCTCTCAGTTTACATATATATTACATATATATACACACGACTATTCATATATAATTACTATTTTGCTTAGTATGCGTTATATTTTAGGGGTAATATGTCATACGTCCCTCAAATGAAACATAATTTGAACTAGATGACAAGTTCAAATCCAATCTTTTAATTAAATTCTTAATTTGAAATAATATATGAGTCACGTCCCTAATTTTTTTTTTATCTCTATCTTACCCTTATACACTAATTATATAACCTATACATTCACGTTTCTTCAATTTAAATTTATTCGTTTTGTTTTCTCTCTCTCACCTTCTCTCTCACCATTCTATCTCTCACGTTCTCTCGATCTCTCACCGCTCTCTCTCACACGTTTTTTCTTATCTCCCTTTCTCTCTCTCTCTCTTCTCTCTCTCTTTCTCCTTTCTCTCCAATAGCAGCATGAAGGCCGTCGCCGGCGCCGGCGACGGAGGGAGAAGGAGCAGGGGTTGTGGTGGAGGCCGGGACGGCGGTGGCAGCAGGAGGTGTGGTGGCGGCGATGGCATGCAGGGGCGGCGGGTGGAGGCGTGGTGGAAGAGGCGACGGCATGGGGTTGTGTGGTGGGGGTCGGGGTTGTGGTTATGGTTGGGATGTTATTGAAAGCATATTTTGACTAATTAATCGCATCTAATTTTCTTATACTTTAAGAGATATTGCTTGATTTGGGTTCATATGACGGATCTAGGGTTTTTCAAAGTCGGTAGGTGGATACAGTCGCGGCGGCTGCGAGCGGTAACTGCTAGGGTTCGCGGCGGCTGAAAATTGTTGGCGGCTAGGGTTTCGTCGTAAGCATAGTATACTGTAGTATACTATAGTACACCGTAGTATACTACACCCAAGTATACTATAGTATACAGTAGTATACTGTAGTCTACTACCGACAAATTGAAAAATATGTAAATTGAAAAAAAATATATAATGCTTTTTTTTTTTGTGGTAATTTTCAATATTACGTTGAAAAAAAAGAAGAAAAAAAGAATTTTTTATAATAATGTATAAAATAATAAAATGTAAAATGAAGAAAGAAAAAAGGAAGATATGGAAATTCGAAATATTAAATGCATAATAAATAAAATGATAAATACAGTTTGGAATTTACTTAATGCGTATTTCGAATTTATGAGTAGAGTGGCATTTTTGGAATGAATTTTATAAAGGATGTGAAGCAAAGATTTAGTTGAACTTGTCATTTAGTTCTAATAAGTTTTATCACTAGGGACCTATATCCTAAGGCCCCAATATTTTAACGTTTATTCTACAACACGTTCAAAAAATTCAGTTAGGGTTAAGTGTTAATCTGACAATTAGGTTATTATTTAGTATCTCCAGAGACAGTGAAAATAATAGATGATTATATTATAGCAAAGACGATGTTGGCCGGAGGTAATGATTGATGGTGATGAACAAGGGTGGAAAACGTTGATGACCAAGAAAAATTAATATTAGGGCTTACGGTTTTTGTTAGATTGAAATGGAAGATTATTATTTCATTAATTTTGTTGATTTGTGATAAACTTTAAAATAATTAATTTTTTAAGTTTTCATTAGAAGGAGTTTTATGTAATTTCACGTATATTTCATGTATCGTACTTCTTTTTATGGGGCTTCGTACTTTTCTATGTGACAAAAT